CCATACAAATCATCCTGAACTGTGGTTGTTGTATCTGTCTTTTACATCCTATTTTTTTCATAAATATAGAACTGCTCATAAAGCAAACCTCCGTAGAAATGTTACTTTCCGAGTACCGATCTCTCATTCAAACCTCTCTACTTCAGTGTTCAAGATATAGTAATTTTGTCTCATGAAAAACGTAGTCCATGTATATTCCTGACTGACCTTGCGATTAAATTGTTCATTAATTGCAGAAAGCTGTTGCCGAAATTCAAACATCTACCAAATATGTTTGCTGCTCATGTTTAGTTTGCTCTATCCCGATTGAATTTTTACATTCCCTTTCGTTCCGTTTTTCGTTTAACAGTGCATCATTTATCCGACCATGACAAACCGACGACCACACCATGTGGTGCGATTGCTCGTGCTCGTTTGGATTGTGGCCTTCGTTCTGGCTAGCCCGTTGGCGTTTTTCTCCCACGTGGATGAAGTGAAGGTTCAGCGCTGTACAGAACGCACGTTCGATAGATTGACGCAAAAGCTGAAAGTTAGCTACTACGTGGCCGCGTTATTCTTTCAATATGTGGTTCCCTTACTGATAGTTAGTATTGTGTATTGGAGAATTGGATTGCGCATAAGAAATCGGCATTCCCGAGTCACAACGAAGTCGCATTTTCTGCAGTTGTACGCAGACAAAGAATTGGTTCCAGTTTCCACTCAAAGGGTTAATAACCTCAATATAGGCAACGATCGCCCAACAACCGGCCGTTTAAAACTTCCCAAACAAACAGTAACTGATGGTCCAAATGCTCCTTCTTCTTGGGTCGATCGGTTATCCAAGGGGCAGTCCCCCGATAAACCACACCTCCTAACACGATGTAGTCGACTACAGCGAGAGAATCGGCCCATTTTGCTGCTCACAGCTATCGCTGTGGTATTTGGCACCAGCTGGTTACCACTAAACATTTTCAACGTGTACATGGAATTCCGAGAAATGATGGTGGCGAAGCATTTCCAATTACCTGGCATGATTAGTTTACAAAACTTCAGTTCAGATACGTATAACCAGACGGAACTTATTAAAAGTCAGACATTGTTGGGACCAGGAACTGTGCTCATATTTCAAACGTTTTGTCTATTTCTCGTCTTGAGTTCCGCTTGTTTCAATCCAGTTCTGTATGGTTGGTTAAACGAGAATTTCCGCGCCGAGTTTCGAAACGTATTTCGCACTCGAGTGCGCTCCGGTTGCCTTGTTCGATCGTGTGCACACACTGGGCATTTGGAATCCGGACAGTTTCCGGATGCACAAAACGCACCAGCTGATTTGAATAAATATGTCATTCAGTGGGTTCTATCCCCACCTTACTATTCATCCTGTCGTATAGACAGTTCGATTAGTTCAGATGAAGTTGTACAGAACAATGCGAATAACGGTATCCATCTTTATTCGAGACCGACAAACTCATTCAATCCGGTCGACGAATCGGAATTTGTGGTCAGCACTAAAGCAGGCGCACTGGATTGCGCGGTAATGAGGAAAAAATATAATCATTCGAGTTTGGATAATAGTCGGCCCACGAATTCGTCATCCTCTTTTGCTATGGATATTTCTGATCGGATATTCTTTGTGGACAGCGAAAGTGATCGGTTAGAAATCGAACGAGTAAACGAGTCCTTATTGCAAGCCCTTGCGCAAAATAACGACGGTCAGGACACTATTCCGGAAGTGGATCCCAGACCAGAACAACAGCAACAACAAAGTTGGTGCTCAGTGATAACGGCCGTGTGATCCGATCGAGGATATATCAGACAAGATGCAGCACACGCACGCACACACAAACGAGAACATGCCCGTGTCGTTTGGTCGATGTGATTACACAATAGTCATTCCATCTCGGTCGTCTGCATTTATTGTGATACTTAACCTAATATGTGTATTTTTCTATATATATATATATACATATATATGCATACAGTTATCTTTGGTTTTTTTCCAATGTTGCGACTATTCGTCTATGACATGCATTGAATTCATTTTTTTACTAAAGCTCTAGATAAACCTTATTTACATGGGTTGTGCACAAGATTGAAACTTCAAAACAAAAGCATATCGACTGAAAATGACGGGTGAGTACGTGATTGCTGGTGGAAAGAATGGATTACATATGTATGAATAATTTATCCCCGTAAATCAGAACGCTCGAGAAATTCGTGTGTTTGTCAACATTTTGAGAAAGACTAAATCCATCTACTGTACCGGTTGATCGGGTAGTAATTCTATCGTTTTTCCTGTTTAGAGTGTGAAAATTTGTTATCATCGTTTGGAAATACAAAACGATTCATCTAAAGACAGGGAAAGAGACGAAGTTTTGTATGCTCTTTTTATAGAATTACCTTCATTTACCTGTGAAAGGAGAATGGTGGAGAACGTTCAAAATCATGGATTTACTTGAAAATACAATGAATATATTTGAACGAGAGTTGTACAAAAACCATTTTGCACTACATCTAATTAAGGGTGAGGAATATTGCTCATGATTTCATTTCTCATTGCTTCTAAGTATTAGGAATTTAGGACAGAATTCGGGTGATAACATTGAGGGACAAGCATTACGCATAATTGTGTATTCCTTTACCTTATGCGTTTTCTTAATGTGGATTTGATAATGAATCAATGTTTTTGAAACAAAGAACTTCGGGTTAGTATATGTGGGTATAATATTGTTTGTTTGTTAAATCACACTCATTCCACACTTACTTTGATACACTGCGAATCGTTAAATTTTAGTGACAGTTTTTAATTTCTTCCACATACTCATATGCAGATTGAAAAGCACGATTTAGCTATTTTAATACACATGACGTACGTTTCGTGCTTGCCAGTAAAGGACAAACCAAATGGTATATATAACCATAACACCATGCGTTAGGTATGACGTTGTTGGGAGAGAAAACAATTGTGGATGCAAATGTAAGCTAAAATAAGCCAGTGCGTTAACGTTTGCGGAATAGGAGTGTAGTTAAACACGAAAGAGCTGTTCACCAAACCCAGAGCTCAACCCAGGGAGAGATAACTCGTTTTCTTAGTTCGCTACTTGGTTTTGTAATGTTACTCGGATAGTCACAATATCGGGTAGAAAAGAATTTTAAAATTTTAGGGAATGTAATCAGAGAACACTAGAGAACACATTTAGGTGATCAAAACGTATCACACCAGTAACATTATGTAGTATGTTTCACCGGGAGTACTAGACAGCAAAAGCAAACGGCCGAATACACGCAAGCATAATGCCGAATAAGTAAAACGTGGTAGAATTACCGGCATAATTTCTATCAGCCGTGTAGAGAGCAAGCTTTCTTAGAACATGTTCGAAACATTTAGATGTAATTTACACACTGTATTGATCTATGTAGGCGGGTGAAAAATAAATAAAATAAATAAATAATAAAGTTATTCATTCAACAGTTGTCGTAGGATTCTCGTTATTAAATGGACAGTTCCGATGGAATAAAAACAGTAATAGAGGTTGTTTTTTAATCGCTTCAGCAAATAACAGCTCCAAAAGATATGGTGAAGATTGTCTCTACGAGACCGGGACTCAGATAGTGAAAAAAACATACCAGATCGTTGAAATTTGAAGAAGCTGTGAAAAGAGACAGATATCGGTTTAAGTTTAATTTGAGTGATTGGTTAGGACTGACCATCCTTCAGACTTTACCTTCACGCACATTCTTCAGGTCTTCCAGTGAACCATACATTCGAAAGCACCCAACTCGAGTTTCGCTCGTAATAAAACTCCTCAGTAATGCATATCAAACGGATTTCAAATCCCGGACGAGACGGTTCTTTGCAATTGCAGAAGGCTCTGTTTTTAGAACCCCGAGACCGTAGATTTTCGTAAAATGTAACTAGAATATGGTACAAAGAGAGAGAGACAAACTTTTATCTGATTTCTGATGTTCCGACGTTTATCGGATTAATTTGTTTTATTTTGTGATTCTGCTGTATAAGAATCCTTGCACAATGTTGCACACAATATGTCGCATTTGTCGTTATCAAGCGAGTCCCACCGGGAGTTTGCCGCTTTATAGGAGTTTGTCGGTGGGTTTGAATATACGTAAAGTATGTGAAATATTTATTCCTTAAATATGTCCTTGTCTTTGGTTCAGTTGTCAAACGTTAGTCGAAATTCCGCATTGTTTATGAAAATGCATCTTCTTTCGTTACGTCAGATGCTTCGACAACACTGATCAACTTATGTTTGACAGTATCAAACTCTGCATGATACAACGACCAATATAAGCAAGCAGTTATTTTAGTTGAAATTGTTAAGTAATAGAACTTAAACCTCATTTAGTCTCACCAATCTGAGTAACTACTGGACGATCTTTTTAATTCGTTTGGGTCAAATGCACTAGATCATTCGGTTGCAAAATCCGTGTTGGCATCGCTCAAAAATAACAATGGAATATAATAAGATAAAATATTGTGAGGTCATCATTCTTGAAAATAAAATCCTTGTAAACAAGCCATGCAATTTGACATTGTTTACAAAATTTTGTTTGTTCAACTTCCGTTCTGTGGGCCATACAACGTAAATCCCATTGTTTTACTCCCAGAAACGATGGTATATTTCTCCCTAAATTATCTTTGTCATTCTTACAAGATGATCATCATTTTGCAATTGGTTGAACGCAAAAGCATTTCGATAAGTAATGAAATGTGAATAAACGTAGCTTGCGCCAATCCACATGCTAGAGATGTTTTCATGTTGAAAACTGCACAACACTTTTGGAATAGTGACGGCGTTTCCATCACAAACCTAAATAATCAGAGGTGGGGCTGGTTATTCTAGAATCAAAGTATAATTTTGCAAGTGCGATCTTAATTTGTTATAATGTCTTGATGTTTTAAAGCAGGAATAAGTAACTAACGCAACACAACATAAATCGCATCAGTAAAATATGGCAAAATTGGCATCAGCTGAGCCAGGTTGAAATCACATTATTTGTCTTTTCTCCGCTAAAAAACATATTGCAACAAGTAGCGCGCAAGCCTCCTCAAGTCCTAAGCACAAATACGAAGTATACATGATAGAACCACGGAAATTTCGGGTTTCTGTCCTTTGGGTTTTTTTCATTTTACTTCCTTTTATTGAATATAGAAAGGTACACTTTTCAGGAAGGATGAAACGGACAATCAAAGAGCTGCCATACAATACAAAAATGGGGAAAGTGAGGCGGCGTTGGTGGGATTTGAACACTCGTCCTCCGGGGGGAAAAATGGTGACGTTACTACCGATGATTTGTTTCCTTTTACTTGCATTTTTCAAATCTAATCAGGAAGATTTGGCTTCCTACCAAACGATGACTGCGTTTGGTTTGTCTATGTTCGAATTCACATAGGTAAACTAAGTTTAGTAATTCATGGTTCTTTTGAAAATATTTGACTCAAAATTAACAAGTTTATTTCAATTCAATTTGATTTAAGGAGGATATAAAGTAGAACTATGCTTTATTTTGTATATCGACAATTTTTCAGAATGCGGTTTGGAGAACTTCAGTGTGGAATAATATTACACAGATACAGAACAAAGATTACCAAATATGTTTTTTTCAATAAACTTACATGTGTATAAGATGGCGTCAAAAAGGTGAAGTCATCTTAGTGTACGTTGACGCTCCGGTTTCTATGACGGGGCAAATTTGAATCACATGGGATTGAGCATCCATCTTCAATCGGCTTTCTATCTATGCTGTTTGTCTCTGTTTACCATGACAGTGAAGGAATCGTACAACATTATCACTGCATCTGACAGCTTAGCATGGTTTGTTCCACCCTAAAGTAGAAATTTAGCTTCTATATGATCCCTTCATCAGATGTCTGTAGCCTCAGGCTTCCTATATTTTCCTATCACTACGCGTTTGACTAATAGCTGATTCGCGTGGTGTGTCTACGTAAATGAGCTTCAGACTGTCAGGACTAGCAAGGTTGCTTCTGCTTCCTTTGTTTTTTACTCTTACAAATTTTGAAGTACATCAATCAAAACTTACACAGGGACAGCCGTAGATGATTTCTGTTTTTTGATCAATAATCGTCATTGATTTTTCACCACATAAAACCCTGTATTTATGATGTCACTCACCCCAGATGTCAGCTGAGCTGCCTAACTGCTCATTTTTTCAGTGCGAGCTGCATTAGTTGCTGCAATAGGTAACCATGATGAATTGGACAATTTTTGTTTGAAATCCCCTTATTTGTAACTTACAAATTCCTATTATTCAGCTTAGAAAAGAACAACATTTTGTTGGAAATCAGAAATGATGCATGAACATCACCAGACTTGAGCTCAACAAGTTTCCTCACGGCAAGCGCCTTCGGCAAATTTCTGATACGTCTAGTCGGACGGAAGTTTGTTCGGTCAACCAAAAACACTGGTTTCTCTTTTTGGAAACCGCTATCACTAGGTTCACACTCAGAGAAGAATAGCTTTCTTTTAATTTTCGTGTTTGTGTTTAACATAATTAGTTTAAGCGTAGATTTACCGGTCGGTACGACATGCCAGAACTAGGGAGTATTAGAGTACCTTCCCGCAACGTGGCATAAAGCCCCAGCGTTTCAGGAGAAAACAATAAATAATGTGTCATTATAGACATGTGTGACAGAGAGAGAGCTTTATTTGAGATGCACGAATTTTATTAGGATGCTTTTCACACCATGAAAAGCCAAGAAGTGATAATCATAGAAAGCAAGAAGCTTAGCAAATTCGCTAGTCACTCACTTGCAGA